GCGTGTGCGTGCGTGCCCAAGATCCGAGAGGAGAAGGGAGGAGAAGGGATTGTGGCGTGGCCATCCCCCTGGGGGGTTGTTTTCTGACTTTCTGTCTCTCTGTGTCTTTCTAGCCAGCACAGGCGCCCTATAGCAAAAACAAACAAAAAATCCAACAAAACCAACCAACAAACACAAAATTTTCAATAAAAAGAACAGTAACAAATGGAATTACATAAATAAATAAAATATTTAATAAAAAATTTAAAAGGCACGACCCTTGGAGAGAAAGAAGGGACTGAGAACCCCACAGACAAGGCCCGTCCCAGCACGGAACCCCGTGACCCTCCCGTCCTGACCGCACGACCCGGGGACACGTGGGGCTGCGGGTGCCGAGTTGCCCACACAGGGCCCAGGTCGCCGCGCAAGGACGGGCCAGGTGCCAGGGCCCAGGTCGCTGCGCAAGGACGGCCCGGACATCAAAGGGACCCGCTTCTGGCCCAGACCCCACCTCGGGATGGAAGGGCCCGAGCTGCGCCAGCGACAAACTCTGGGTCACAAATTCCAAGGTGGACGGGGAGACCTGGGTCCTACCACACCGCGTCGGCCGGTTCCAATCGTCACCCACCCCACGGTTTGAGGATGACCGGCCCCGCAAGTCACCATTTTCGGTTTCTGAGGTGTCCTGGTGTCCCTTCTCCGATTCCCGCGGTCAGTTCAGGTCCGAAAGCGACAGAGGGTGCGACGGAACCACCGGCGACTCTCGGAGAACCCAGCACGCCAAAGCGCGCGGCGAGACTGAGACGCTCAGACGACGTCGGTCGAATGTTGCCGCCTACAACGTAAGCGCGTCTGATTGGGCAGATCCGACCAGCTCCGGCACCCCTGATTGGATATGCTTTCAGGCTCCGCCCCCTGGCGCTTGACTGACAGAAGTAGCAGTGTCTAGCTTGAAGGGCGGGAGCCAGAACTGCAGGTTGCAGGCCAGAGCCCTCTGCTGGCTAGGATGCCTTCCTGCCCTTTGACCTGGCTCAACCTGGGGATAAGTTCAGCTAAACAGACTCCTGGCTTTCCAGAGCAAGCTCTCAGCCTCTTTCTGCATCAGTGAACCCTCTCCGATCTTTTTCTCCGGGACACCAGGTCACATGTGCGCTCAGGGAGTTCCACACTCAGTATCCAGTGGAATGATCCTCTGGTCTCAGAGGAAGAGAGGGTCCCAGGCCAGGGAACACTGACCACCCTGAGCTGGTGGGAGGGCCTAATGTGCTGAGGAGTCAGGATTTTGGAATGAGGCTAGTGTGAGCGCGACCAAGGCGTTCTCACACTTTATCAATGGACGCATTTTAAGACATGAAAATGAATGCATATTGGGCCAGCAGGTGGCGTGGTAGTTAAGGCGGCTGGACTCCCACATGGCTGAATGTGGTTGGAGTCCCAGACCTGGCAGCTTGCTTTCTCACTTCCACTCTATCTCTCTGGTCAAATTGAAAAAAAAAAAATTAAATAAATATAACTATTTTATTTATTTATTTACTTATTTATTTAAACTTGAAGCTGAGAAAGCAAGCCACCAGGTCCAGGACTTGAATCACTGTCGACCATGCTGGTGTCCAGCGCCTTTAACCACCATGCCACCTGCTGGCCCCAAGATAATTCGTTGATAAAATATCAGTAAAGGAATAAAATCATGAAATGCATAAAAAAAAACCTTGGTGTCCTGTGGAAACAGACTTTATAAATCAATCAAAAGTAATGAAACCAAACATTTGAACTGCATTATGGAGAAGACGCCTCCTCTACTCATAGGTCACAAGGCAGACCCACATTCAAAAGGTGAGAAATATTCCCAAATTCATAAGCCAGATTCCAATTTTTTTTTTTTTGAAGAGGTTTTCGCTATAGGGCGCGTGCGCTCGCCAGACAGACAGAGAGAGACATAGAGACAGAAAGCGAGAAATCACCCCCCCGGGGGGATGGTCACGCCGCAATCCCTTCTCCTCCATTCTCCTCTCGGGATCTTGGGCACGCACGCACACGCGCCTGGCGTGAGTTTTAAGCCACCGGGTCCAGGACGTGAACCGCGGTCGATTACGTGGGAGTCCAGCGACATAGCCCTTATACCTACTGCTGGTCCCAAGTCTACCACAGTTTGAATCCTGGACACGGCGGCTTAAAAATCAGAATGGACGCGTGAACGAACCCAACATTCCAAGAGAATAGCACAGAAGGGATCTTGGGCACGCACGCACAGGTGCCCAGCATGAGTTTTAAGCCACCGGGTCTGGGACTCAAACCGCAGTCGACTACATGGGAGTCCAGCAACATAGCCATTATGCCAACTGCTGGTCCCCCCAAAGTCTTTTTACCTCCGTTCTCCTCCTGGGAGCTTGAAAACCTTGGTGGCATGTGTGTGTATGGGTTACAAGCGTGCACATACCCAGGGTGCATTTCAAGGCACAGGACACAGGACTCGAACCGCAGTCAGATATGGTGGAGTCCAGCACCTTAACTGCTATACAGCTACTGGCTCCTCTTTTCATCATTTTCTATGGATAAGTCCTTGTTCATACTGAAATGTGGTGGTGATTAAATTCTGGCATTTGTCCAAGCTACTGTGTGAAGGGGATGCCGAAGGCTATCATTACACAGCATAGTATAGCAATATATGGATTCTTCCTTCTGCCAATTCTGGTACAGTTCTTTTTTTCCTTTTTCCTTTTTTTTTTTTTTGAGAGTTGTTGTTGTTGTTGTTTTGGTGTTCTTTTATAGGGTGCATGCGCTTGCCAGAAAGACAGAGAGACAGAGAGACAAAAAGTGAGAAATCACCCCCCAGGAGAGATGGCCACGCCGCAATCCCTTCTCCTCCATTCTCGTCTCGGGATCTTGGGCACGCACGCACACTCACCCGGCGTGCGTTTAAGCCACCGGGTCTGGGACTTGAACTGCGGTCGACTACATGGGAGTCCAGTGACATAGCCATTACGCTAACTGCTGGTCCCAGTTCTTTTTTTCTTTAGAGAGATTTTTGCTAAAGAGCACCTGTGCATTCACTAGAAAGACAGAGACAGAAAATGAGAAATCACCCCCCCAGGGGGATGTCCACGCCACAATTCCTTCTCCTTCATCCTCTTCTCGGGATCTTGGGCACGCGCACACACACACGCCCAGTGTGAGTTTAAGCCACCGGGTCCGGGACTTGAACTGCGGTCAACTACATGGGAGTCCAGTGGCATAGCCATTACACCAACTGCTGCTCCTAAATAGTTATTTAAAAATAACTATTAGGGGCCCACAGGTGACATGGTGGTTAAGCCTCTGTAGTTCCACATGGCATGAGTTGGGAGGGGTGGTAGTGAGGCCAGTGAGGCCCCGGTGAGGCCCCTTTCGGGCCTAGGGTGGAAGAGGCGTGCACAGAACAACATCTTGGAAAAATGAAAGAACAAGTATATTCATTCTTTCCAAATGAGAAAATACTTTGTGGTTTTCTCAACATACTTGGCCCAGACATAGTAAAATAATTTATAATGAGCTTGCTTGCTCTTCCAGAAACATCAAGAGTCTCTGAGGCCAAATGTAAAGGATACCATATTTTTATTATCATGTACATTTTTTGTTTAAAAAGAACTATTTTATTTAACTTTATTCATTCATTTACTTACTTTAATTTGCTTAGAGAGGGACAGAGTGAGGGAGAGACAGAGAGGGAAAGCAAGAAGGCAAGCTGCCAGATCCGGGACCTGAACCACAGTCAGCCATGTGGAAGTCCAGCTACCTTAACCTCCACACCACCTGCTGGCCCTATTATTTACACGTTTAAAAACAATCATGTGTAGACTACAGGGGCTGGTGTTTAAGGCAGCTGGATACCATATGGTTGACAGGGCAGTTCAAGTCCTGGGTCTGGAGGCTTGAGAAAAAGCTAGGTGTGTGGGGGTGTGTGCCCAAAACTCCAAAGGTAGGGAGAGATGGAGGAGAAGAGATTGTAGTGTGTCCATACCCCATGGTGGGGTTGCTTTCTCACTTTCCCTCTGTCTCTTTCTCTCTCTCTGACAAGTGCACATACCCTCTAGCAAAACATTTTTGCAAAGAATTATTTTATTTGACTTTATTATTAGTATCATTATTACTTTACAGTTTGATCAGAGAGCAAGAGTGAGAGAGAGAGAGAGGGGGGAAGTGAGAAAGCAAGCCACTGGGTGAAGGACCTGAATTGCAGTTGGCCACGTGGGAGTCCAGTGCCTATAATCGCCACGCCACCTGTTGGACCCATAGCAAAATTTAAAAATACATGGGGTTGGAGGGAACAGCAGTTGGAGTAATGACTATGTCGCTGGACTCCCATGTAATCGACCGCAGTTCGAGTCCTGGACCCGGTGGCTTAAACTCACATCAGGCGTGTGTGCGTGCGTGCCCAAGATCCCAAGAGGGGGTGATTTCTTGCTTTCTGTCTCTCTCTGTCTTTCTGGCGAGTGCATGCGCCCTGTAGCAAAAACCTCTAAAAAAAAAAAATACATGGGGTTGGAGACCAGCAGGTGGCATGGAGACTAAGGCACTGGACCTCCCACATGGGTGACAGCTGTTCTAGTCCCAATCCTGGCTGCTTGCTTTCTCCCTTTCTTTCTCTCTTATGAGTGTATGTGCTCTAAAGCAAATACAAATAAAAAATAGGGACCAGCAGTTAGCGTAATGGCTATGTCGCTGGACTCCCATGTAGTCGACCATGGTTTGCGTCCTGGACCCGGTGGCTTAAAACTCACGTCAGGCTCGTGTGGGTGCGTGCCCAAGATCCCGAGAGAATGGAGGAGAAGGGATTGCGGCGTGGCCATCCCCCCTGGGGGATGATTTCTCGTTTTCTGTCTGTCTCTCTCTCTCTGTCTGGCGAGCGCATGTGCCCTATAGCAAAAACCTCTCCAAAATAATAATAATATTAATAATAATAATAATTAATACAATTCAATAAATAATTCTTTGAAGAAGAAAAAAGCATGACACAGATGGCCAGCAGGTGGTGTGGAGGTTAAGGGACTAGATCTCAAATGGCCAACTTCATAGTTCAAGTCCTGGACCTAGGGGCTTGAAAATTACACAGTGTATGTGTGCGTGCCCAAAATCCTGAGAGGATACTTGGGGAGAAGGGATTGTGGCGTGGCCATCCTCCCTGGGGGGTGCTTTCTCACTTTTCCTCTCTCTGGCAAACTCATGCACCCTATAGCAAAAACAAAAACAACTTGATATACAGAGAAAGCAGTGCAAAGTAGGAAAACTTAGTCTCGATTCTTTTCTTTCTTTTTTTTTGGAGGGAAGGATTTTGCCTTAGGGCTGCGCGCTTGTGGGGTGGGAGGGAGGAAGAGAGAGAGGGACAGAGAGACAGAAATCATGAGAGGGAAAGTGAGAAATCAACCCCCAGGGCAGATGGCCACACAAAAATTCCTTCTCCATTCCCTTCCTGGGATCTTGGGCATGCACACAAGCCCAGCATGATTTTCAAGCAACCAGGTCCAGGACTTGAACCGTGGCCAAGCATACGGGAGTCAAGCGACATAACTGCTATGCCCTCAGAGAAAATACCTGTCATGTGTCTCCAGTTTCCCCATGCATGTCATTTTTTTTTTTTTTTTGGAGAGGTTTTTGCTATAGGGTGCGTGCATTCGCCAGAGAGACAGACATAAAGCGAGAAATCACCTCCCAGGGGGGATGGCCACGCCACAATCCCTTCTCCTCCCTTCTCCTCTCGGGATCCTGAACCATGGACGACTACATGGGAGTCCAGCGACGTAGCTGTTACGCCATCTGCTGGTTCCGCATTTTATTATTTTATTCCCTTGGTAGCCTGCTTTTATCATTGTAGCTGACAATGAATAGAATGAGACTTGAGGAATGACAAAGCCTTGGCCATGTATCCAATAACGTCATCCTAAATTCAGGACCTGTAGGAGGTTTAAGCAAAAGGCTCTCCCTTCCGCTTCTGCGCGGCCTGGCCTAGGTGCTCCTTTTCTGGGACCACTTGATTGGATGCTGAGTCTAGAATTCCTTGGGCAGACTTGTGACCCATGACCAGGAGGATAAAGTGGCAAGGGAGAGCGGCAGGTGGTGTGGTAGTTGGGGTTGACCACTGTTCAAGTCCCAGGCCTGGTGGCTTGCTTTCTCTCTCTCTCTCTCTCTCTCTGGTCAAATTAAAAATTAATAATAATGAGGCCAGCAGATTGCATAATGGTTATGTCACTGGATTCCCATGTAGTCTACCACAGTTTGTTTTTGTTTTTGTTTTGTTTTGTTTTACAGTGTGTGCCCTTGCCAGAAAGACAGAGAGAGACAGAGAGACAGAAAGCGAGAAATCACCTCCCAGGGGGGATGGCTACTCCTGCAATCCCTTCTCCTCCATTCTCCTCTCGGGATCTTGGGCACGCATGCACACGCGTCTGGCATGAGCTTAAGTCGCCAAGTCCAGGACTCGAACCGCAGCCAACTACATGCCCCCCCCGGGGATTTCTCATTTTCTGTCTCTCTGTCTCTGTCTCTCTGGAGAGTGCATGTGCCCTATAGCAAACATCTCTCTCTTTAAAAAAAGGAAAAAAAATAATAATAAAATTAAATAATTTTTTTTTAACAGAGAAAGTGAGCAAAAGAGGGAAAGCGAGAAAGAAGCCACCAGTTCCATAATGTGAACCGCAGTCCACCAGGTGGGAGTCCAGCGTCTTTAACCACCATGCCACCTGTTGGCTCCCAACTTAAAAAAAAAGAATTATTTACTTTTATTTTTTCTTTCATTTATTTTAATTTGACCAGAGAGAGACACAGAGAGAGAGGGAAAGTGAGAAAGCAAGCCACCAAGTCTGGGACTCAAACTGTAGTCTGCCATATGGGAGTGTCCAGTGCCTTAACCACCACGCCATGTGCTGCACCCCAAAATTAAAAAATTCTTTTGTTAAAGAATTACTTTTATTTCATTTTATTCATTCATTCATTTTATTTTAATTTGACCAGAGAGAGATACACAGAGAGAGAGAGGGAAGGTAAGAAAGCAAGCCACCAGGTCTGGGACT